GGCTTTCTTCCCCTCCCTGGGGCCCTTCAGAGCGAATCCGTAGTGAATTACGAAAATGAACCATAGTGTTCATATGTATTACAGACTCATCATACAGTAAGACCTTAGCCAGGAAAGCCACAACACATAGACAATATGCATACTGCTCTAAGAGGCTCTTTTGTTTTTTTTCCAAATTAGCTATTTGTTAAGTTGCTTTGATGAGTTATCACACCATATTTTGTTACTATATCGTAAGACCTGGAATCCCATGTGCTGCTTTGACATCTCTGAGCTTCTCAGAGCCCCCAAAGACTTAGCTGTGCCATCCCCTGCTCTCATCAGAGGTGTGCACCTCTTGTTCCAAGTGGCAAAGGCTTCTTGCCCAGCTTCCAGCTGCATACCTGGTATCTGCCTGGCTCACTCTGCAGCCTGCAAAATCATTCAAACAAGCCTACCCCATACTCCCAGAGGAACCAGATTCACCCTCCCTCTTGTTCCTACAAAGCCCGCTTTCCTCAGTCTCCACTGCTTCATTATGTTCCTGACTGCAACTCACACAGGCCCTGCAGTCCTCTTCCCTGGGCTGTGAGTAGATGCCACTAATAAACTGCTGCCAGTTTCATCAGTCCAGGGTCCCCATCATGTGTTTGGTTATCTCACATTAGTTAGGGTGGGATATCTCATCTTCACCAGTGAGGTGAATAGGAGATGGCCGAAACAATTAAATTTTCATAAAAAGAACACCCACCAAATAAGGCTTCCACATCTGTTTGGAAATTGCACTGGAAGACATTTCCATTATGTCATGCTGTTTCAAGTAAGTGTGTGTGAGCATGCATGTGCGGGCACACACACGTAAACACACACAGATCCTTCTAGGATTTAATCCTAGAAAAGCTGAACTCACTTTTTCACTTGTTATTGGGACCTGGATCCAATAAGTTGTTCTGCCTGGAAAGACACTGCAATGTGGTGGCAGAAGAAAGGACCTTCCCTTCAAGTTTCTTGTCTTCCTGTGATTATTTGGCGTAGGTGCCCAGCAAGGCACATGATTATCTATGGCCACAGTCTCAGTCTCAGGCCATGCTTTCTCCATGCGATGGCCAGTTCTTTGGGTCAAGATGCACCTCTATGGTAACTTGATCCCTACCAGGCATTTTGAATCTGCAGATCAGTTCCACCTGCACACATTCTCCGGCAGCTTCTGTAAACTAGCTTTGACTACCAACAAGTTTTGCTGCCAATAGAAGATTATGTGTCCCTGTGGCAGCCAAACCTTTAAAGAGGTCTGAAGTCCAGCTGTGGGGCATTAGGTTGTTTGAAGCTGCTAAGGCTGCTGTAACAAAGTATCATCGACTGCCAGGTGCGGTGGTACACAGCTATAATTACAGTGGCTCAGGAGGCTAAGGAAGGAGGATTGTGAGTTCAAAGCCACACTTAGCAAAAGCAGATCACTAAGCAACTCAGTGAGTTGTCTCTAAATAGATTACAAAATAGGGCTGGGGATGTGGGTCAGTGGTCAAGTGCCCCTGAATTCAATCCCCAGTACCCCGTCCTCCATACCATGGACTGGTGTTATTTAAATGTCTTAAATAATAATCATTTATTTCTCCATGTTTTGAGTCTGGGAAGTGCAAGCAGCAGACTTGGTTTCTGCCGAGGATCTGCTTA